TGCAGATACAGAACCAGATGTTCTGGAGGAACTTTATCAGATTTGTTTGATTTAGATGGAACACTGACAACAACATCTTAAGAACTAAAGGATTCCAGCCACATGGAGGAAAATCATTTGAGTTCTGAGAGAAAATCTGGAATCTAAATTCTGCAAAGCCCACAGAACGACAGTAATTCAGCAGGTTTCTTCTTCTTTCTTCTGTTGGTTTGTAAAGAGAAGTGTAACTGATTCTGATTTAAACCCCAGAGTTTACATCTATTCAACAAGGAAAACAGCTGCTGTCTTTGTTTTAACTGATGACGATTATTATTCACCAAGGAGACAGAAATCAGAATTTGAAAAATGAAAATCTTGGTATCAAAATATCTAAAAACACAAACTTTACCACAAAACTACACTGTCAGGTTTGTTTCTACAGTCTGTAGCAGGAGGAGGCTCACTGGAGGGTTGATCCAGATCAGGTATATGAGCTAAGACGCTTTCCCAACTTGTCTTTTTTTTTTTAACGTGGCCCTTTTGGCCTTCCACTCTTATTGGTAGGACAGAGAGAGAGACGGGGAAGTAGGGGGAAAGAATGGGGGAAGGACCTGCAGCACCAGGCCACGGCCGGGACTCCAACCCACTCATCGGGTCTGGAGCCTGTTTATGGGTCACCGGCTCAACCAGTTGGGCCTTTTTTTGAAAAACCTCTTTTAAGGTTTAATCAGCTCACGTTGCTTCTGAGCCACTGAGCCCTGATCGCTAAGAAATAAAAGGGTCCTCCGTTGAGCTGGACGGGCCTCAGTCTTACTTCTGTTGTCCTTCTGCAGACTGTGAGAAGATCAAGCTGGTGGGTCCGAGCCGGTGCTCCGGCCGGGTGGAGGTCTTCCATGGGGACAGCTGGGGGACGGTGTGCGACGACCACTGGAGCATCACCAACGCCGAGGTGGTCTGCCGGGAGCTCAACTGTGGCACGGTGATCGAGGCCAAGAGAGGAGCCTTCTTTGGGGAAGGGAAGGAGGAGATCTGGCTGGACGATGTTCAGTGCACCGGAGAAGAATCCTCCATCCTGAAGTGTCCTCACAGAACCCTTGGGGTGAACAACTGTGGACACGGCGAGGACGCCGGCGTCGTCTGCTCAGGTGAGCTGTTGATTTATCTGTGAGCTCTGTGTTCACATCCTGCAGTGAAATGTCTCCATCAGACCTGAGATCCACGTTTTAGAGTTCAGGGCACCGTCTGCTGCCTCTAGGTGGCGTCATTTCTAAGAAGTCCTGTCGTTGTGTGGATCACTGTTGTGACTACAGATCACTGCTCACCAGCTCTACTGAATGAATGTGAACAATCAGAGGTTCAGACATGTTCACATTTAACTCCATCATTTTACCATTTTCAGGTTATTTTACAGTAAAGTGGATAAAAACTGTGAATAGAAAAGAATCTTTATTGTCATTGTAACACATGTGCAATATATTGCATACGACGAAATCAGAAAGTGCCAAACAAACAAAGACTATAAGAGACTCAGTGTTTAATGCTCCACTGTGAGACCACAGCAGTGAAATAGTGTCACTTATCAAGACTTAGCACCTACTGCTGTTCTACAGGACTGTGAATAATGTCTATATCCAGATAAATGAATCAGGAAGAAGGAACCAGAGAAGCTCTGATGTGGGCCACGGAGCAGGTAAAGTGATGTGAGTTTAGCTGCTGCTGGATCCAGACAGAAGCAGCCGTAGATGTAGAGAACTTGGACCATAAACCGGCTGATGCAGATTTAGCAAACTTCTGTGCAGGTTTTATTGTCAGAACAGCATCAAGGTCAGCAAATGTAAAGTCTAAAGTTCAGGAGTTTTTCTAAAACTTCAAAACAAAGCCTGACGTAAAACTAGTTTTCTTTATTCAAACTATTTCTCATGAAGCACAACAAGAAACAAACAGAATTGACTTGATTTGTGGAAACAACAAACACACACCGTCTGCAGATGACCCGGTTCAGTTTTCTGTCGGCAGCTTGTGTTTGTAAAAAATCACGTTGTGTCCACGTTGTGTCATCGTTGCTTTCGTTGGCTCAAAATGTGTGTCGCTGTGTTGTTAGTTAACCGTCTGAACAGCAAAACCTGCCGACGGCTTTGTGAGACATGTCTTCTTTTTAAAAAGGAAGAAACTGTAAAAACAGAAAGACTCATCAGATTTTCAGCTTTTCTACGAGTCCTGAACACAACGTGTGCTGAAAATGTGTGATTCTGTAAAAAAACAAACCTTTTCTTCCCTCCTTGTTTCAACCGGTTGTGTCTCTTTGCAGTCACTTTGTGTGTCTGCGGTTGTGTGTGACGACTCAAACAGTCCCAGAACTTCATCTTGACTTTCAGTGTTTTTAACGATTTCAGATGTTTATTGATTATATTTATTTGTGTGATTTGCAGATTTTGTGCGTCTTCTCAACGGCACTAATCGCTGTAACGGCAGAGTTGAAGTTTTCCGGAATGGCCAATGGAAGCGAGTTTGCAGCAGCGACTGGACCAAAGACGACGCTGACGTGGTCTGCAGAGAGATCAGCTGTGGAAGTCCTTTGACTCAGACTTTGCCTCCACACTTTGGAGAAGCTACCAACCTGAACGGAGTCAAAACCCACTGTGTTGGAAATGAAAGCTCCATCTCCAAGTGCACACTTCAGGATACCACAGAAACCTGCATAGATGCTACTGTTGTCTGTACAAGTAGGTTCACACTCCCACATCACTCACTTTCATAAGAATCATCTGAAAAAAAAGAGCGAATTTGATTGCAGACATGTGAGCATGCTAAATCATGAGCATGCTAAAAGATTAGCATGTTAAAAGATTAGCATGCTAAATTGTAAGCATGCTAAATTGTCAAATCAAAATTTTCTGTGGTTAGACTTTGGTTGTATTGAAGGCTTGAGGCCATAGAGCCTGTGATTGGCTCAAAAGCATCGGAGGCCACAGAGAGAGAGATGAGAGCCCCGTGATTGGCTCAATGACATAGGAGACCAGAGAGTGAAAAAAATTAAAGATAATGATTGGTTAAGAGGGAGAAATGAGAGCCTGTGATTGGCTCAAAACTATTCAAAACTATCACAAACCATATTGAGAGAAATGAGAGCCTGTGATTGGCTNGTGTGTGTGTGTGATCACTGGACCAACTTGTGCTTTTGTGTTTGCAGGATTCAGAGTCGTAGACGATGTCCGGCTCTGAGACGCCTCGATTTCCCACAATCCTCTTCACACGGACGCTTCAGCTGCTTGACCTTCAGAAGTCCTGAAACCACATCAGAGTGAAGCTTCGTCTCCACAAACGGAAGATCCACCCACAGCCGGTTGTGTGTCTGTTGTGTGTCTGTTGCGTGTCTGTTGCGTGTCTGTTGTGTTGTGTGTCTGTTGCGTGTCTGTTGTGTTGCGTGTCTGTTGTGTGTCTGTTGTGTGTCTGTTGCGTGTCTGTTGTGTGTCAGCGACAACATGCAGCTGAACCTGAGCGTGGAGCAGAAGGCTGAAGAACAAAGTCTCTGCTGAACGTCGCTGCAGTTCGTCTGATTAAAGGACGGTTCTGATGTTTTCCTTCTTTCTGCATCGACTCCATGGAATGAATAAAAGCAGCAACGTTCTGCCTGAAGCCATAAAACAGTGAAGAACTGGATTTAAAAAACGAGTAAATCACAGTTTAATGCCTAAACAGCAGCACAGTGCTGGACACGCTGAACACATCGATAAAAGAAACAAGTCGAGTTAAAGAACTGAGCTGAGGAACACTGAGGAGACTGTGGACCCTCTGGTCGGGGAGTGTTCTTTAAAATCAGCGTTTATGACTCAGAACCAGTGACAACAGAAAGAACCGTTCTGTGCTCCGACAGCAGCAACACCAAATCACGTTATTCTGCGTTTCATCTAAAAACTCGCCAACATAAAGCTCAACCCACATCCTGTCCAAGCAGCAGTGACTGGTGGTCCTGTAGCAGCAGGTGGAGGAGCAGCAGGTGGAGGAGCTGCAGGTGGAGGAGCTGCAGGTGGAGGAGCTGCAGGTGGAGGAGCTGCAGCTGGAGGAGCTGCAGGTGGAGGAGCTGCAGGTGGACTCCTGGCGTGTTTACATGTGAAATGAACTCAGATGATTCCTCGTAGATCTTCATACATGTTGTGCCATCAAGTGTGGATCAGTATTTAAAGTTCAGTTAATGATCCGACAGCGTTCCTGTTTCTGCTGAGTTCTGTCCTGATTTCTTGTCAAACTGTGTGAACGCTGTGAGTTTCTGGTGGATGTTTTCAGAACTTCAGTATCTGGACTCTTGTGGTTCTTAAAGAAGCTTCATGCTGGTGAAAGTAAAAGTTTCTTTTGTTGAGCCTTCAGCTGGTTTTTGGTGTTTCTTCTGTTCTGTGGAGAGTCTTTGCTGCTGATCTGGGACCTTCTGTCCCGTCGGTTTCTTCATGTGCACATTTTTCTCTTTCTGTTTAAGAACCAACTCTTTTTGTTTAATGAATAAACTGTGATGAACATTAAAATGACGGATCGGTGTTCTGTTGGAGAACCTGGTTCTCCCTCTGCAGGATGATGCTCTCTGACTCATGATGGAGGGACATGACCAAGAGTTCAAGGTGTCGACTCAGTTCTCGGTCCGGTCCAGAATCTGTGGAAGGTTCTGGAAGAACCGGTCACCTGAGACCAGGTGTAGTTTGGGTTCTACTGGGTCAGTTTTTGGTTTAAATGTCCAGAAGTCTTCTACTGCTTCAGGTTCTAGCTGTGATGGCCGGTTCCCCTGAAACCCGCCTGAGCTTAGAACCACGTTTGGCTGTAAATGTGGAAGCTAAAGTAGAAGGAACCAGCTTTTAGTGGGTCACAGCAGGTTCCTGACTGGAGATAGAGTCTGATGAAGAACCAGAACGGCTGCAGGTTCTGGAGAAACTTAAGAAGCTGATGGACGAGAGAGAAACGAGAGACCCGAATAAAGGCCGTGACCGTCGGTTTAATGTCCCACATGTTAGGGAAGACTAGAAACGATCAGAGGAGGATCTGAACAGCAGCAAGTGATGACGTCAGAACTTTAGAACCAGGACCAATGTCACAGATACCATTAAATGGAGCGAACCTGCACTCTGGGTTTTTACAGAAAGTGAAAGGAATCATATGAAAGTCAAGAATGAACACGTGAGGAGCAGAAACGTTGACGTGAAGCCGGTTGGCGACAGGAAGTGAGAGGAAAAGATCAAATGAATGAAATCAGGCGGCGGCACAAACATCAACCAGGATCAGCTTCAGGAGGAGGACAGACAGAAAAAGTGAACTTTGAATTCAGACGTGCAGCTGCTGAAGCAGGATTTAATGAATGTGAACAGAAGCAGAGTTCTGATGAAGTCCGACCGCTCTGAGTCAGATGAGTCGGTTCTGTCCAGTTCAAGACATCTTAACCCACTGATTCACCGTCAGTCGCTTTGCTGATCCTGACTTCATGCTGAGGCTTTTAAACCTCATATTAAATTAATTACCAACACGACCGGGTCGACACAACTCTTTAAATGGATCAGAACAAAGGCTTTAGTAACTCGCTGCAGGCCTTTAAAACTGAAAGCAAAATGTTTTTTACTTTACATTGTTTTTCTGTTTTCTTGTTAAACACTTGAACGCCTCTTTACAGCACCCGGGACCTCGTTACACATAAACTGTGGCCGTAAAAAGCCTGTCAGAAGAAGTTCTGAAAACATGAAGCGGGCTGAACCCAGAGCAGGTTAAACACATATTGACGTCTGGGTAAATGATTAAATCATGGAGCTGTGATGTGCTGATGGGAAATCAGCAGGAGTCACTGAACAAACAGCAGTCGAGTCACAAACAGGAAAACAATGTTCCAGGTTCAGACAGCAGCGGATCAGAACCAGCTCAGGTTCTGATGGTGTCACTGCTTTCAGATCAGGAACAGAATTGTCCGGTTCGGTCCGTGAAAGCTCAAAGCTCAGAGCTGAACGTGACAAACATCTGCTTTTATTAAACACGAGGCTGGAACCGTCCAAACCCACTGCAGCCGGGTCAGGGTTCTGGTTGAAACACTCTGAGTCAGAAAGGAACCAACATCGGAGCTGAACCGCTGAGAACCAGAACCAGGAAGGATGTGCAGAGTTGAACGTGTCTGAGCAGAACAACAGAACGGTGTTTAGAGAGTAACGTGACACAAAGCAGAAGTTCTAAATGTGGTCAGGCAGCTGCTGGACTGGAACCGGAGGCGATAGAAGGAAATGTGTGGAAACAGATGGTCAAAGTGCTGAACACACAAGTTGGTTATGAAATCTCACATTCAGCTCCACGGAACCACAGCGAGGCCTCATAGACGTACAGCACAAAGTGTCTCAGTCAGCTCATCCTGGAAACGAACCAACCCTCCTCTGGTTCTGTTGGGTCCAAACAGAACCCCACCATAAGATCTTTGTTCCACAGAACCGGAGAACATGCTGCCACATGTCAACAGGTTTCAGAGATTCAGACTTTAGTGCAGCTGCTCACTTCAACAGAAAACAACCTGCGACAGAAACCGTTCATTATTCCCCAAATCCCACCATTCACCAGACGATCTGGATTTCTGACTTTCTGACTTTCTGACGCACCTTGAACTCATCACGTCATGTGTTGTTGTCAGACGTGTCGCGTTTAAAGATTCTCTACAAGAAAAGCATCTGCATCACATCCTGTAGAACCAGAACCTTCCTCCTTCTGGTTCTGATTCTGTAGAACCAGAACCTTCCTCCTCCTGGAAAATCCAACCTGCTGGATCAATAAATACATGCAGCATGGATCAGAACCAGTGAACAGAGGAACCAGTGTTTGAGATACATTCAGCTGATGGTGGAACATCTTTCTACTGATGGTGGAACATCTTTCTACNGGATCCAACACCAAAACCATCCACCAAGAGCAGGATCTGTCAGAGGGCTTCAGGACTAAACTGAATATGACTGCTTTTACAACCAAAGTGAGCCTGATTGTAAGACAGAGATTTGAATACCACTTGATGCCACTGGATTAAACTTGAATTATTTAGACAGCATCTGTAATGTTGGTTTTGGATCGCTGGCTTTAATATCTTGAGGGTAGAGATCCATAATGGAGTGACAGCCGAGCTGTTGATGCTGGAATGTGGAACAGGTGCATCTAAATCAGCTCGATTCCCTCGGAGGATGAAGATGTCATTTCAGAGCAGAGTGGTTCAGGACGAGCTTTACTGCAAACGCTGCACATGTTGAGGAAACATTTTCATAAAATGATTTTACATTTGCTGGTTGTTAAATTTGCTGGCGATGCTAGAAGGTTGGTGTTGAGAACTGATCAGTTTGTGTGGGTGTTCAATTTGGAAATGCAGATTTGATCTTCTGAGGAGTACTGTGTGGTAGAAATAAATAAGCGTGAAGCTCCTGTCTTCTCTCTGGATAGTCGGAGCTCAGAACGTCCCTGTAGAGGCTGAAGGTGATCATGAAATCCCTGATAGACGCGTCTTTGGAAAAACTGTGGTCAGAGGATTGAAGCCCTGCAGTCAGCTATATGCTAGTTTCTACTTTTTTATCACACTCAAAGGAGGCAGCAACAAACTGATGATCCTGATGTGTAGAAGACACACTGAGATGAAGCAACAGGAGAGTGATGGAGGCCAGAGAGGATCCAGATGAAGAGGTGGAAGCTGAGGAAGCAGCCAGCTGATGGGAATGATGGGCTGTCTGTTCTACAGAGTCTGTGGTGGATCTCCATGTAGAGGATGGATTCCAACAGAGCCTGAAGAGAACGTTCCACGTCAGTGTTGCTTGTGGAGAAACCTGAAGACTGAATGCTTTGGCAGGAACTGACTCTTCGGTTCTGTCTTGTTGTCAGATGTTAGATTTGGAGCCTGGAGCTGGATCAGCAGGTGTGGTGGGATCTGCAGCGATGGAGGGACTGATGGACGTTAAATTGACCTGGAAAGTTTGGGAAGCACCAAGACCAGGCGCTGTGCTGATGGAATTATCTGGGTCACCACCTCAGATTCTGTTCAGAGTTCACTAAAACTGGAAAACATTTTAATTGAATTTTGAGAACTTTACATGTTTTCAGACCTGGAAATTTGGTGTTTTCACCTCACAGAACTGTCTGAACTATTAAAGGTTCAGTATCTCCAGAAATGAAACTCCCAGAACCGTGAAATGTGGAGGCTCAGAAAAAAAGAATCAGGTCTGAAAACATGTTCAATCTGTAAAACTCAGCCAAAATATGAAACAGAACTTTTACAGAATGAATTAGTGAACTCTGAGCAAAATGTCAGACATGCCAACAGTATTTCTGCTGAATTCTGTCTGAACTGACTCAAACTGATTCTGCTGACAGAAGCTGCAGAAAGTAGGTTTCACCGGTTAGAAACAGTGAAGGAGCTGCAGGATCATCTCCTCAGGATTTCAGATCACCCTCGACATCACTGTCAGAATTGGAGAAGAGAACGATGGAATGAAAGAGGCTGATTGGCTCAGAGAGCACGAGCAGGTCGATCATTGGATCTGAGAGTGAAATGATCTGGAGCATGTCAGACTTCTGCTTTGGGTTTCTGAAGATGCTCCACTGCTCATCAGAGACGCTGCTTCAGAACTGAAGGACATCTTGGATGAGAGGTGAACTATCTTCAAACAGAGAGGTCCAGCTTCTGCTGAAGATCACCTGGATGGACCTACAGTCAAAGGAGGTTCTGAAGAGAGAGAGCAGCAGGAAACAGTCTGTGGATGAACAGATGAGTTTAGTCTTCATGTGTGGACACTCTGCGATTCTCCTGAATAAACACACCTTTGATTTGTGTTTTCCAACCCGACAGACAGTAAACCCATCCGGCTGGTGAACGGAACCAACCGGTGCTCGGGTCGGGTGGAGGTGTACCACCAAGGCCAGTGGGGGACGATCTGTGATGACCGATGGGGGATGCAGGAAGCAACCGTCACCTGCAGGGAGATGAACTGTGGCAACGCTGTGGCTGTGAAATATAAAGCCTTCTTCGGCAGCGGACAGGATCAGGTGTGGTTGGATGATATCGAGTGTACCGGTCACGAGAAGTCCATCGCCGACTGTCCACACAGAGGCTTTGGAGAACACGACTGTGACCACAGTGAGGACGCAGGTGTCGTCTGCTCAGGTAAACCTCGATCTGCTCTGATGGGTCAGCTCAGGTTCCTGATGTACCTTTACACTCAGTGCCTTCTTTGGCTTTCCAGAGTGGGTCCGACTGCTGAACGGCACCGACAGCTGCTCTGGCAGGGTGGAGGTTCACCACGACGGCCACTGGGGCAAAGTCTGTAATAATAACTGGGGCAATAAGGAGGCTACAGTGGTGTGTAAGGAGCTCAACTGTGGAGCTCCTAAAAAGATCCAGGAATCGTTTGGCGACAGCGGACTGAGGGGCTTCATTAGCAGATGCTCTGGTAACGTGAGCTCCATCGGCCAGTGTGGATTTCAGGAGCACACTGGAAACTGTCAAGGTGTTTCGCTTTCCTGTTCAGGTAAGACACAAGGGTGGGACATGGTGCACTAATGTTAGACTGGAATTCATCTGGTGGAGGTTGAAGAGTCCACATATTGATGGACACA